GCTATAATCACTGAGCTCTTGTAAGAGCTTGTTCCTGCTTCGTTCTGAAGGGAGATAGCTGCAGCCTGCTGTGCTTATGGTGTCTGGTGGAGTGCTTGGAGTCCTCTGGAAGCGCTAGGAGCATCTTTCAACGGAGGTACCCAGTCGGGGTGCCAGGTGATCCGTTACATTGGTGGCAAGCGGCGGGATGGCATCCTAGTGCGAGGAGAAGCAGCTCGGAGACACCGGTAACGTGTGGAGTTGTGCAGCGTCCTTATCTTCAGCAACATAATGGAACCAGCAGTGGCTACAGCAAGCATGGCGTATAGCTACTCCGTACTAGAGTTTGGCACGATGGTAGGGTTGCACCTGAAGTTTTACGGACCCAATCCAGAGGAGAAATACGTGCGGTTCGTGTGGGACATGGTGACCCGGAACCTACAACACAGGGCGTTGAGGGAAGGCCAGTGGGCACGTTGGGAGAAACTCCAGCCACAGGTAGAGTGGGACGAGGAAGAAACCGAGGTGGCCGGTGGAGATGGGACCGAGGTCTCTCTACCGGCCCTACAGGGATGCTGGGCACCCGGCCCAGATCCCCAGCGGCAGTATGTTTTACAGGGAGGGGAGACAGTCGGTCTCACTCCCCAGCGGCAGAATGTGTTATTGGAGGAAGAGACAACCGGTCTCCCTCCCCAACAGCAACCAGAGGTACCCGAGGTAGAGGACCTCATAGACCTCATAGACTGGTCCTGGGAGGACCCCCTGCAGGCAGGTGGAGATGGGACCGAGATCTCTCCACCGGCCCTACAGGGATGCTGGGCAACCGGCCCAGATCCCCAACTAGAGCTGGAGTTACAGAAAGTGGAGAGCATCGACCTCCCCCCCCAGCAGCAGCCGGAGTACCAGGGGGAGGTAAGTGATATTTCTCCTCCCCAGCCAACTCCTTTGTTCCCTGACCCCCCAGCAGAAGAGCTGGCAACTGGGCAGAGCGCCGCTGGCCTCTGTCCTCCCTTGTTTCCTTCCCCTGAGCCTGACTTTCTACAGGCTGCCCCAGCGGAAGGTGCCGTCCTTCCTCCCCAGCGGCAGTGCGTACCCCAGGGAGCTGATGGTGCCGTCCTTCCTCCCCAGCGGCAGTGTGTACCCCAGGGAGCTGAAGGTGTCGTCCTTCCTCCCCAGCGGCAGTGTGTCCTGCAGGGAGCAGAGACCGTCAGTCTCACACCCCAGCAGCAGGACAAAATAATGAAAGGGGAGACAGCTGGTCCGCCTCTCCACCAGCAGAGAGAGTGTCAGGGAGAGGAGCCTGTTAACCCCTCTCCCCAGCGGCAGTTGACAGTCCAGAGAGAGGAGCTTGTTACACCCTCTCTCCAGCGGCAGCCTAACCCACCAAGGGGAGATGTTGAGCCCCGCAACTGTGCAGATGGGACCGTAGTCTCTGCGCTTACAGCCCAAGGGGTAGAGACGGTCGGTCCTGTTCCCCAGCCCCAGAGCTGTGTACCCAGAGGGGAGACGGTCGGTCTCCCCCTCCCACAACCAGGCTCCAATCAGGCTACTTCGGTGGTAGCACTGGCACCAGGGCAGAGTACCGCTGGTCTCTGCCCACTCAGCAACCCACCAAGGCAGTCTACCAGCTCCCCACACAGCCGTGGTGAGGCACCTGGACATGGACAAGTTGCTACTTTATCCAGGTGGAGTAAACATTTATTGTGGGTGGGCTGTACTGCTGTTTGTGCTTCGTGGGTGGGTTGCTGGACTAACCAGGGCACTGACCGGCAGGAGGTCAGATACCCTGTTAGTCTGGGGGGCAAAGGGGAGAAGTGTGGCAAAACCGACCTCGCCACGTGTCCTTGGAGGGGGCTGCTTGCCCGCCTCTTGCCTTTGGACTATGGCCCTGCAGGTTAAACTGTTTATTTTCCCTGCAGAAAGGCTTATTCGTGTGATCTGAGTGCCATTCATCTAATAATGTGCAGTCAGATCCAAGCTATCTGGGGATATGTAGAAATGTGTGTTTTATGTACTAAATGTGTCAGTATGTAATTTTATGTCTTTTACTGTCTCTTATTGGGGGAATCTGCTACAAGGGATTGCTATGCTAGGCATATTCCCTTGCTATAATCACTGAGCAACTGGGCAAGAGCTTGTTCCTGCTTCGTTCTGAAGGGAGATAGCTGCAGCCTGCGGTGCTTATGGTGTCTGGTGGAGTGCTTGGAGTCCTCTGGAAGCTCTAGGAGCATCTTTCAACGGAGGTACCCAGTCGGAGTACAAGGAGCTCCGTTACAAGAAGGATCTCCAAAAACGGGAAATAAACTGGGAACCCCTGTCCGACACAATCTCATTGGGAATACCATGCAAACGGAAAATTTCTCTAGCAAATATCACGGCCAGTTCAGGAGAGGACGGAAGTTTAGGCAAGGGAATGAAATGAGCCATTTTAGTAAACCTGTCAAGGACCGTGAGGATAACCGTGTGCCTACTGGAAACCGGCAGATCAACAATAAAATCCATAGCCAAACAAGCCCAAGGTTTGTTGGGAACGACTAAGGGCTGCAATAAACCACAAGGGAGATCCCGTGGTAGTTTATTCCTGACACAAACATCGCAAGCCTTGACAAAGTCTTCCACATCCCTACGTAAACTAGGCCACCAGAAGTCTTTGGAGATCAGGCAGTAAGTTTTGTGTATGCCGGGGTGACCAGCGAACTTGCTATCGTGAAAACAGCGAATAATGTCCACTTGGAATTTGGGAGACACGAACAAGCGGCCCACAGGAGTACGCTCGGGAGCAAGAGATTGTTCGTTCATTATATCTAAGAGCAATGGAGAGTGTATTTTGACATTGGTGTTGGCGATAATATTGACTTCAGGAATAATAGGGAACAAAGTGTCTTCAGTAGAGGCGATAGGTTCGTGCTGACGAGACAATGCGTCTGCCTTAGTGTTCTTAGAACCAGGCCTGTAAGTAAGCATATAATTAAAGTGTGTAAGGAACATAGACCAACGTGCTTGCCTGGCAGATAATCTTTTGGCCTCCCCCATATAAGATAAATTTTTGTGATCAGTCAAGATAGTAACTGGGAGAACAGTGCCCTCTAACAGATGTCTCCATTCCTTTAATGCCATAATGATAGCTAAGAGTTCTCTATCACCAATGTCATATCTCCTTTCAGTGTGTGATAGTTTCTTGGAAAAAAAACCGCAGGGGTGCAGCGGCTTATCTAAACTTTGTCTTTGGGACAACACTGCGCCTATCCCTGTTTCAGACGCATCAACTTCAAGTAAAAAGGGTAGAGAGGTATCAGGATGAACTAATACAGGTGCTGAGGCAAAAGACTGTTTGAGCGTTTCGAAAGCAGATAAAGCCTCAGTAGACCAGGTTTTGGTATCGGCTCCTTGTTTGGTCATATTAGTGATAGGAGCGATAACAGAGGAGTACCCTTTAATAAAACGTCTGTAATAATTAGAAAATCCAAGAAATCTTTGTATGGCTTTGAGTCCCTTAGGTAAAGGCCAATCTAAAATCGATTTTAGTTTGGTCGGGTCCATCATAAACCCGTCTTTGGAAATTACGTAACCTAAGAAAGTTACCTGAGACTGATCAAAGCTACATTTTTCCAATTTACAATACAATCCATGTTGTAAAAGTTTCTGCAATACCTTTCTGACTTGTCTATGATGTGAGTTAATGTCTCTAGAATGTATTAGTATATCATCCAAATATACAATCACACATTCATGTTGGAATTCTCTAAGAACTTCATTGATCAAGTCTTGGAAGACGGCCGGGGCATTACAAAGCCCAAACGGCATTACGGTATACTCATAATGCCCGTAACGGGTATTAAATGCTGTCATCCATTCATCTCCTTGTTTAATTCGCACCAAGTTATATGCTCCTCTCAAGTCAAGTTTGGTAAAAATACTCGAGCCCTTTAGTCTGTCAAAGAGTTCAGTAATCAAAGGAATAGGGTAAACATTCCTGATAGTAATTTTGTTCAATCCCCGATAGTCTATACAAGGACGTAAGGTACCGTCTTTCTTTTCTACAAAAAAGAAACCCGCCCCCGCCGGAGAAGAAGACTTTCTAATAAATCCTTTGTCTAAATTCTCCTTGATGTATTCCTCTAAAACTAAATTTTCCTTGGTGGATAAAGGGTATACCGTACCCCTGGGAGGCATAGTACCAGGGAAAAGTTTAATAGAACAGTCATAAGACCGGTGGGGAGGTAAAGTATCCGCCTTACCCTTGTCAAATACAGATTTGAGGTCTAGATATTGTAATGGTATCTGAACGTCTGTGGATTGGGAAGAGTTAGTATAAGAGTTTACGGGGCAAACAGAAGTAACTCTCTGCAGACATTCTTTCCTACAACCAATACCCCAAGAAACGATTTCTCCACCCTCCCAGTCAATCTGAGGGTTATGTCTCTTGAGCCAAGAATATCCTAGCACCACTGGGACTGCCGGGGAGGAAATTAACAGAAGGGAAATCAACTCCTCGTGGAAGATACCAACAGTAAGCTTAACGGGTTTGGTCTCATGGAATATTACTGGTTCCGATAAAGGTCTACCATCTATGGCCTCAACGGCCAAGGGTGTATCTCTCAGTTGGAATGGGATACAATGCTTATTAGCGAAGGTTTGGTCTATAAAGCTTTCTGCTGCTCCAGAATCTAACAATGCCATCGTAGAAATAAACCCATTTTCCCAAGCTAGAGAGACAGGAATCAGAAGCCTATGGTCCTTTTTATTATGTATAGAGGACAGTAACGAAACACCCAAGGCCCGTCCTCTAAGGGAACTTAGGTGCGAGCGTTTCCCGGGCGATTAGGGCAATTAAGACGTAGGTGACCTCTCCGCCCGCAGTATAAACAGAGACCCTCCCTTCTTCTGTACTGTCTCTCAGCCTCAGATAAGCGAGTATTAACTATTTGCATAGGTTCTGGTGGAGTAGGATTATAGGAGTCAGGGTTCTGAAATGAGGGAGCGAGTCTTACAGGAAGTCTAGTAACTCTTTCCCGAGTGTTCTGCCTCTGTCTCATGCGTTCATCTATTCTGGAAATGAACGATACTAAATCCTCTAAATTTTCCGGAAGTTCTCTTGTGGCAATCTCATCTAGAATTTCATCAGACAACCCATTCAAGAATACATCCATAAAAGCTTGTTCGTTCCATTTCACTTCTGCTGCCAATGATCTAAACTCTAAAGCATATTCTACAAGGGTCCTATTCTGTTGTTTAAGGCGTAACAGGGATCTGGCCGCATTAATCTTCCTTCCTGGGGGGTCAAAAGTCCTTCTAAATGCCGTGACAAAAGCAGTGTAGTTGTAGACTAGAGGATTGTCATTCTCCCAAAGGGGATTGGCCCATCTAAGTGCTTTATCTATTAGCAGAGTTATAATGAAGCCTACTTTAGCCCTGTCAGTAGGGTAAGCCTGGGGTTGAAGTTCAAAATGTATGCTTATCTGGTTTAAAAAACCACGACAAGTATCAGGCGAACCCCCATAACGTAACGGTGAAGTGACATGGGAAGATGCGCCTACAGTGGCTACTTCCAAACCGGTACTTAGTGGGAGGCTAGCAGTGGAACGTATTTCTTCTGACTGGGTGCTGGAACGTGTTAGCAAAGTTTGTAATGCTAAAGCCATTTGGTCCATTCTATGGTCCATGGCCTCAAATCTGGGATCAGGAGGACTAGCACCTGCAGGATCCATTTGGCCCTGTCGTAATGTCAGGATACTGACAGGGATCCAATACGCAGAGTGCGGACAGAAGGAGGTACGTATACCGGACCTTAGAATGGCCGGACTAACGTATGGACGAAACAAGAATAGTCAAAAGGTAAGCCGAGGTCGAGGGAGCCGGAGGACAGGTAAGCGAGATACAAGCCGAGTCAAAGGAGAGGAGAGGACAACAGGACAAAAGACAAGCAAGGTCAAAACCGAAAACACAAGAGAGAGAACGCGCTGAGTGACTAGCAAGCTAGAACCACAACAGGGCAATGAGCAGTAGTAAAGGTTTCCTTTAAATACCCTGTCACCTTAATTGAGACCACGCCCCCAAAAGGTCCGGAATAGCGGTTCCCGGCACTTCACGTAATGCTGACGTCATGACGTCGACGCTAGCCGTCGCGTCATAAAAGGGGGAGGAGCTAGCGCGGCCGGCGCGAAAACGGCCGGAAATTGCCGAAATGCTAGGGGCAAGGAGCCCCTAAACAGAGAGGATGTCTTCCCTGGAGTCAGCACCAACAGGTACCCTGACAACACGGAAGTCCATATCTGGGTATAACTTCTCGCAACAGAAATCGTACAACTTCTCCAGCCTTTTCCTGTATGAGTTGGACAAGCTTCTACCCAACCTGAGGAGGTACACACAGCTACCAACAAGTAACAATATCCCCCAGATTTAGGCATTACAGTGTAGTCTATTTGCAAATCTGACATTGGGAGTCCTCCCATATATTGAACTCCAGGGGGTTTGACAGGGCCTTGTCTTGCATTGTTTCGAGCACACAAAACACATCTTCGAACAATAGCTTGAGTAAGATTGGATAATCTTGGTATGTAGAAATGTTTCCTGAGAGATTCTTCCATACTATCTCTTCCTGAATGTGTTCCATAATGGAAGTTCTGAACAATCTCTATAGCCAGAGATGTCGGAATAACTATTCTTCCATCTTCTAACTGATACCAATTATTCTCCAAGTATTTCCCAGCTTCAGTCTTCAACCACTCCATCTCTTGGGTTGTATATATTGGTGTCCATTGAGACAGAGGTGCCGGCACAAGGGCAGCAACATACCCCACATATTTCTCTTGCCCGGATTCAGCTGCATGTTTTGCTGCACTATCGGCCATGCGATTTCCTTTTACTACATCACTATCACCTTTCAGATGTGCCCTGCAATGTATGATACTGACTTCCTTCGGTTCCCATACCGCCTCTAACAGTTGGAGTATTTCTGCTGCATACTTGATTTCTTTCCCTTCTGAATTCAACAATCCCCTTTCTTTATACAATGCTCCATGGGCATGGGTTGTTAGAAAAGTGTATTTCGAATCTGTGTAAATAGTCACTCTCAACCGTTCAGCTAATTGCAAGGCCATTGTTAATGCAATCAGTTCCGCCTTCTGTGCTGATGTCCCTTTCGACAGTGGCCGTGCTTCTATCACCTTGTCTATGGTTGTTACCATACCCTGCATAACGTATATCTTCTTTCACATAACTACTACCATCCGTATAATAATGTTTGTCCGGATTCTGGATGGGGAAATCATGAAGATCAGACCTGCTTGAAAACACTTCATCCATTATCTCCAAACAATCATGTTGACTTTCAGTAGTCTGAGGCAAAAGGGTAGCTGGATTCAAATTGTTGACAGTTTTGAGGTGTACTCTTGGATTTTCACATAACATAGCTTGATATTTGGTCATGCGACTGTTGCTAAACCAATGATTTCCTTTGTAATCCAATAGGGTCTGCACTGCATGGGGTACTTGCACATAGAGTTCCTGACCCAATGTGAGCTTGTCAGCTTCTGCTACCAACAGGGCAGCGGCGCCCACTGCTCGCAGACAAGGTGGAAGACCACTGGCCACTGCATCCAACTGTTTGGAAATATAAGCTACAGGTCTTTGCCATGATCCCAAATACTGAGTTAATACTCCCACAGCCATTCTTCTTTGCTTATGTACGTACAGATAGACAGGACGCGTGTGATCTGGTAGAACTAGGGCTGGGGCACTCATGAGTGCTTTCTTAACATCCTCAAATGCCTGCTGTTCAGAGGTCCACAAAAAGGGATCATATTCTGTGCCTTTCACAGCTTCATATAAAGGTTTCGCCAGTATCGCATAATTAGGAATCCATATCCTACAGAATCCTGCTGCTCCTAAGAATTCTCGCACTTGTCTTCTATTCTTAGGTATAGCTATCCAACACACTGCTTCTTTTCTTTCAGGTCCCATTATTCTTTGACCTTCGGAAATATGGAATCCTAAATATTTGACAGTTGACTGGCACAATTGCGCTTTCTTCCTTGATACCTTGTATCCTGCTCTCCATAGAATGTGAAGCAAATCATAAGTTGCTTGTTGGCATATCTCTTTAGTAGCAGCCGCTATCAAAAGATCATCCACGTATTGAAGCAATACACATTCTCCTGGGATGGACTTGAAATCTTGCAAATCCTGGCTTAATGCAGATCCAAATAGGGTAGGTGAATTCTTGAACCCTTGAGGTAGTCTGGTCCAGGTCATCTGACGCTTTGAACCTGTAACAGCATCTTCCCATTGGAAAGCAAAGATACACGTACTCTCAGCAGTAATCCGAAGGCAAAAGAAAGCATCCTTAAGTTCTAGAACTGTGAAGTAGGTTGCCCCACCTTGTATCAAAGCAAGCAGATTATAAGGGTTGGGTACAACTGGGTGTATATTGACTACTGCATCATTAACTGCTCTCAAATCTTGTACAGGACGATATTCATCTGATCCTGGTTTCTGAACAGGTAATAATGGAGTGTTCCAGTGGGAAGTACAGAATTTTAGGATGCCAAACCTTACGAACTTATCCAAGTAGGTCTGTATGTTTTTCTTAGCCTTTTGAGGTATATGTAACGGACCGTTTCTCTCACAAGAGGATAAAAACCGTTTAGGCGATAATCCCCTTTCCCATATACCAGCAGCTACTGCAAGCACCAAACTCCCGAACTGCAAACTGTACGAATTCACCAACTCCCGAACTGGAAACACACGAACACTGGAATCAGCCGAACAGGAAAAGCATACAATCCGCTTACACTCCTGGCAGTCAGCATACAATCCAATTCCCCCAAAAACGAGACGACACATCGGTTTGAGGGTCAAGCAGAATCTCCCTGTACTGTCACATACAGTCTCTTTTATTCCCAATCCACAAACATAGTACAGCCCACAGGGCGTTACAAAACAACCAATCAATCCGTACAATACACCCAGACACTCCCACACAAAATCCTCGCCTCTGCAGGTGATATGATTACTGAACACAATGGGTAATCTCATTATCACCGGCAGAGGAATACATTTTTTACACAATATTTATAACTTCTAAAATATACTTGTCACAAACATAAAACATACATTTTCATAATCAATCCATTCAGGGGAACAACATATTAAAAAATGGCACGAATCAGACCAGGGGTTCAAAAGTTAAGGGAAAGTCCTTTGTGACTAAATGAAGCATGGCTTTCTGGCCCAAACCAGTTTCAGAGTCTTCTATCCTGGAGAGTAATTCAATTATCTCCCAGGACAGACACAAGACTCCATTAAGCACATGGTTGCAAAAAGACACAAAACACTTTAAAATACATAAAGTCACCTTTTACACATAACACACAGACATTTCACATATCCCCAGATAGCTGGGATCTGAGTGCACATTATTAGATGAATGGCACTCAGATCACACAAATAAGCCTTTCTGCAGGGGAAATAAACGGTTTAACCTGCAGGGCCATAGTCCAAAGGGAGCAGGCGAGCAACCAGGCTTCTCCAGTTCACAGTGGCGAGGTTGGTTTCGCCACAGTATATGATACTGACGTAGGCTCACAGGAGAGGCCCCAAGCTTTAGTTCAATATGTATAGGTGGAATATTACGAGCAAGCCCAGGTAGATTACTCTCTGCCCATACTCCTGGAATGTCAAATAAAGGTTCATCACTCTTAGGGTTTACACTTGTCATTATGGAGTAGAAGCGCCATTCTTCTTCCCTTGGCACCGATACCGCCATTATGCCTGGTAATCCATTAAACCTCAGAGACGTTGATCCATTGGGTAGAAAAGTTATCTGGGCTTGAAGCTTCGATAATAGATCTCATCCTAGAAGTTGAATCGGACACTCTGGCATATATAGGAACTGGTGCTTCACCAAATGGCCTCCCAGAATGCAAGTGCGACTTTTAAGAACCGGTCTAGCTGCGCTTCTCCAAGTAGCTCCTATCACAGTTATCATTTTTCCTGAAGGCGGAGCCACCAGTTTAGTCACCACGGAATGTTCAGTACCAGTGTCAATCAGGAAAGAACTTCTCTTTCCCCCTATTGCTACATCGACCATAGGCTCCGCTCGGCCAAGGGGGATGGAGCCCGGTCGGTATCAATAGTCTTCCATGATAGTGTCAGCCAGACCCACAAAATCTCTATCCTCTCTATCTCTTGGTCTCTGAGTAGATGGATAATATCTATCTCCTTGAACACTCCCTCTACTTTCCTCACAATTAAATAAAGTTAATAAATGCTGGCAATCGGCCCAGGTGGGATTGTGTGTTTGTACAATAGAGGTAACCAAATCTGCCATGACTTGAGGTTTGTCATTATACGAAGGGTTATGAGTCTTCCAATTAAATAGATCAGTTGTGGTGAAGGAGACATAGCCAAACACTGGATCTGCCTGTTGTATTTGGCCATTTTCATGGTGTAAGTCCATTTGGTAATGTCATCTGTCGGGTTAATATAGGACTTCGGCGAGGCTGTTTTATAGTATGTTCCGGTCTAGGAGTTGTAAGGTAAGGAGAACGAGGCGGGTTAATTTTACTGGGCGGAAGTTCAGTCAACAGGATGTTGCGGGCCGGGCTGGGAGGAGCCTGACCAGGAACCAGAAGTTAATTCCGGATATATAGAACTAGTGGAGGTAGGTACCTGAAGGGGAGGACTCAGGGCAAGTGGGCTGGGCTCTAAACTAGATGAATGAGTGAGCAGGGACAATGGGAACGTGGGAGTGGCAACACTAGCAGCACCTCTTCTAACCTTAGAGGAGGAGTAAGGGGGTGGGGAGGGAAGTTCAGACTCAAAGGGAGAGTCTAAAATGGGCGGGGTTGCGGCCCTGATGGACAGGCGAGTCCTGGCCACCATGAGGCGACATTGCTCCTCGTGGCATACCTTAATCCATTTAGGCAACTCTTCTACAACCGGTTTCCAACAATCAATATACGGAAACTGATCATAGAATTCAGGCCTACTAGATACAACCGCGTGCACACGTTACACTAGAGTTAGATCAAGACTACTAGTGGAGGCCATGCGGTCACCAAGATAGGCCACTCTCTACTACATAATGTAGTCAAACGCTTTGGGGATAATTTCACCCCAAAAGCACAAACTTTATATCCCTTTGCAAAGTTTTTCAACATACACGACAAGGGATCAACAATCTTTGAGTCAGACGCACCCATACTGGCAACGGAGCGTCTAATACAAAGAAACACAATACCCCAAACACACAATGATCACACTTGTTTCCCTGGCAACAGCACCACGTGGCACAGTTGCTAAGCCAAACACACACACACGAAAACACGCAGAGAATTCTCGTACATACAGTGATATCACGACGTCTCACTCACAAAGATTCACTAGATACTTATCTCTGTAACTATAAATCAAACCCTACGATTATGCACATTATAAATCAACTTTTAACTAACCAACTATATCACATTCTAGTAACCTCATCTTTACAATCAGTGGTTATGGTATGGTTAGCAAGTGGTTATAATACAGTTTTAAAGTCACAGATCAGTTAGTAACAGTTATGGCGTTACACATAACATAAGACAACAGTTTTTAGTAATTTTTACACAACGTCAGTAGTTATAGTACTGTGCGCTATTAAACAGTATACACACAATTTGCACTCCCACTAGACGGCAATGTTCAAGCTTTCTAGCAGGACATACAATTCACCAACTACAGTATATTTAACAAATTTACAGTAATCCCAACTATTCTAATTGGCCAGCACCTTGAGAACTATCGAACTATTTACACAAGGATTCGGTTAGTCTACGCTGCCCAAGCACCACCTATAGCGAACTGGTGGGCGGAATTTACAACAGTACCCATTTAGTCTATCTACTCTATCAATAGTCTAGTGACTGAATTTACAACCGGGCACACTTAGCCAAGATAGGTTGAGAACTAGCAGACGGAATGTACACCAGAATCTGCTTAGTCTCGCCGGCCTCCCCAACCTAGCAACCGAAATTTACACCTAGCACACGCTAGTCAAGACAACACACCGGTGTCCGGCATAAACTATTTACGCCAAGATTTAGCCTGACCCAAACCACCTATATTAGACAGGCTGACTAGAGAGTGTCTAATTTCCAGATAAGCGGTGCACCTTCGCTTCTTCCCTCCAGAGGGAGGGGGCAATCCAATAACCGGTTCCAAATATAAAACCACTTGTGGGCCTACCGCTCTAACGATATCAGTCTTACCTCTTCGTTCCTGAACCTTGGCTCACACTCATCGACGGGGCACCCCGGTACTTACTACGTAAAGGCCGATGATCTCCTGGGTGAAGCAGCCCAGTGTCGCCGAGATGAAGGAATGTCCACGCAGAAGTTCAGGGGTGCTGCCGTAGAGAACGTTGGTAAAAAGTTTACCGTCTCAAATCTCTGCGCCAGCTTCCGTGCGATGAGGTTCCCGGACCCAATGCACCAAAGATGTAACCGAGTAAACTTGCAGAAACCAGACAGAGAGATGGATGCAGGTTTTCAGGAAGTAAGAGGTCTTTATTAAAATACCGATCGGGCCTCAGATGAACTAACGTTCCAAAACAGGTCTGAGGACCGAACACATGGAGTACATGCTTTTTATAGAACTATAACTCCTCCCATTAATAGCTCAACCCGCACATACCCTTAACCAATCAGTGGACAGGATTTGGACTTCCTCATATGGGCAGACCACATGGCTCATCCGAAACAAAGGAGAAAGGAGTGTGATTTCAGTTCCTGCATTCCTGCACATGCTCAGTACCTTGATGACAGTATCTTAGCTACGTGTAACTATCTAACTGATACAACATACACATATGCCACGTGGAAATCTCGGCCTACTAAATTTACATTTCACAGAAATTCTATCACAATTCCATTAGCTAGCTTAATTATATCACAGGCAGAGGGGAGGGATTGCTGACTGTATGTGGGAGTGTTACTGTACCAATTATTGTTTCTATTGGTTTGTGTCCCTTTTGTCTCAGTTTACCATCAGGTCCAGAAGGTGTGCCTCTGGCCTGAAAATCTGTATAAAATAAATGCCCTTGAACTCAATAAAGCAGACCTTCTTACCCTCACTTGCAGCCTTGTTTCGTGTGTAGGGAACAGCTATATCACTACTAGCTCTTATAAGAGCTCCCTTCAGTTATACCACTATACTGTCCTGGAGGAGAGACCCAGCTATACCCTCCTGGAGGAGGGAGCCCGCCCTAACAGCTCCTCAGGATATAGAGTTGGAACTCTGCAGCGTTCTCCAAGACTGGGAAGAAGGACATCCAGACGGTAAATACCCGCACTCTATAGGGGTAACCGTCACAGGGTCTAGGGATGTTTTTTTTTAGGATGGGTATGACAGTAGCATGCTTAAGGGGAGCAGGGACAACACCAGATGAAATTGAATCCAGTCCCTCTGGTGAGAACCTGTGAATCCAGTCCTTCTAGTGAGAAGCCTTGAATTCAGTCCCTCTAGTGAGAAGCACTGCATACATATCCATGTTCTCTAATAGAAGACTATTATGACTAATCCCCAATTTTAAAGAAACAGTTTTTAGAAAAAATATCACAAAAACTATTTAGACAACATTATAGAAAGTTTGAAACAACAAGACAGAACTAATCTTTTAAAATATAAATCCAGTCTGTGATACACCAGTGCTTCCCCTTATTTCTAATTATAATAATATAAGCAGAAAAATTTAAATCATTGGCAGAAAACATTGGGACATCCTCCTTCAGGATAATACCTTAAAAGATTCTCCCCCCTTCCCCACAAATAATTAGAGCAGCACCGAATTTAAAAAACTATTTACCAGTTAACTATGCAAAGGAATGTAAATTATACAGATTTTTATAAATGTAACGTGTGTTTGTAAATCCATACATTCCACTAGTATTAAAAGAACCGAGTTCATGTCCAATCAAACACAAACACTATAGAGACAGTAACACAAAAATGTATTCATGACCCTATAGTGTTAAAAACACCATCTAGCCCCCCCTATCTCCCTTAAATATAGTAAATCTTACTTTTATTCCAGCCTGCTGCTGCTGGCTCTGCCTCTAATCTGCATGGTTGGCTGACATTATCACAAGTGGTGTTCAAAGCCAATTACAATGCTTTCCCATAGGCTAAGATTGCCAATGAGGTGGGTCAGAGGGCGGAGCCAAACATAGCCCTGGCTAATCAGCATCTCCTCGTAGAGATACATTGAATCAATGCAGAGGGAGGAGACACTGAATATCAATCACACTGTGCAGCACTGCCCCAGGAGACACCTCTAGCACCCATCTGAGGAGTGGCCAGTGGAGATAACCCTAGCCTGTAATGTAAACACTGCATTTTCTCTGAAACAAATAGTGTTTACAGCAAAAAAACAGAAGGCAATGATTCTTCTCACCAGAACTAATACAATAAGCTGTAGTTGTTCCGGTTACTATAGTGTCACTTTAATGATCTAATTACATGTAATATCAAGAATGTGATCTACCTACTAGAGTGCCTTGTGGCCTCCAGCACGTGGGCACGATGACTAGATGTTTGAGAATTAAATTGGCAGAACACTGCAGGAACATCAGTAAAGGTTACAAAAATCACAGTGTGTCCAAACATTTCCAGATTCATGATAATAATCCCAAATTCTTAAAGGTAATAGGCATTCAAAAGTGCACGTTCCCATGGAAGGGTGGCAATATAAAAATATTTTCGGTAAAAATGAGATAAAGTGGGTATACCACCTGATAACTTTATATAACCCATACGGACTAAATGCAGAATTTGATCTTCTATACTTCTTATAAATTCTATTACTTGTCAGTATCATACTTTTTATGTCATTCTAGCTTTTAAATGCCCCCCTCTCCTTTATCACATTTTGCATATTGTTCCTATCTTTTGTTTATTGTATTCATGTATTTTATATTAACCATTAGTTGTATTATTTTTCTGTTTTTAAATATAGATTTGTATGTATGTACATATATAATTACTGCAGATTGTCACTATCTATGTTTAATATGTACTTCGTCATATTAGCCCCCTCATTTATCTTGTTTATGTTTAATATACAGACTTTGTACATTGTGGTATTAAAGCGGCCCTGTCATGCCGAACTCACTTCCCCAATCGCTTCCTCTTCTCTCCCTCTCTCAGGATCTGTTCTTCTTTTCTGATCTGATATAGTTTTCTTTAAAACACAAGACAAAGTAGGGACCACTTGCTGTGGTCAAATACATTTTCCCACAATATACACCCTTTCCTCCCAGATCTTGCGATGCCTGCTTTCAGTATTCCCGAACGTCCTGTCATATAGACAGAACGCCGGCAAAACTACCGAATTTCATCCTAACAGAATGAGAATAGTTTGTCCATTCGTGTTAGGACAACATTCAGTACATGGGCGTCCGCAGGGGGGTGCAAGGGGGGGCACTTGCCCCCCCCCTGGATTTTTCAGCTTGTTCTGCTATTTTGTGTGAGATTTAAAATGAACTGCAATACCGTGTGTATGGAGAGAGACAGGGATAGGAAGCTGCATCTTATCCCTGCTTCTCTCTGCTGATTGAAACCGCAGGGGAGCAACACATGCAGCCAGAGACAGCCTACAGATCAGGTAAGTGGGGGATGGGGGGGAGGGTTTGAGAGGGGGGCAGCAGCAGATAGATTTGGGGGCAGCAGCCCATAGATTTAGGGGGGGGGGCAGCAGCCTTTAGATTTGGGGGGCAGCAGCCCATAGATTTGGGGAGGGGGGCAGCAGCCTATAGATTTGAGGGCAGCAGCAGCCTTTAGATTTGGGGGCAGCAGCCCATAGATTTGGGGAGTGGGGCAGCAGCCCATAGATTTGGGGGGGCAGCAGCCTATAGATTTGGGGACAGCAGCCCATATTATAGATTTGGGGGCAGCAGCCATAGATTTGGGGGGGCAGCAGCCTTTAGATTTGGGGGGGCAGCAGCCTATAGATTTGGGGCAGCATCCTATAGATTTGGGGGTGGGCAGCAGCCCATGGGTGGGGGCAGCAGCCCATAGATTTGGGGAGGGGCAGCAGCCTATAGATTTGGGGGCAGCAGCCCATAGATTTTGGGGCAGCCCATTTAAGGGCAGCAGCCTATAGATTTGGGAGGGGCAGCAGTCCATAGATTTTTTGGGGGGGCAGCAGCCCATAGATTTTTTTGGGGGGCAGCAGCCTATAGATTTGGGGGGGCAGCAGCCTATAGATATTTAGAAATGAACAGGAAGGGTCAGCAAGGAGCTGGAAGGTAAAGCAACACAATGGTAAAGTAGAAGGAGCAGAAAGGGTCAGAAATGAGCTGGAAGGGGCAGAAGGAGCACAAACATAAAGTAGGAGAAGGAGCAGGAAGGGCCTGCAAGGAGCAGGAAGGAACACAAAGGGACAGCAAGGAGCACAAAGGTAAAGGAGCAGAAAGAATCAGAAGGAGCACAAAGGTAAAGTAGGAGAAAGAGCAGAAAGGGACAGCAAGGAGCACAAAGGTAAAGTAGAAAAGGGAGCAGAAAGGGTCTTCAAGGAGCAGAAAGGGACCAGAATGAGAAAGGAGCAGAAGGGCGCAAAATAAGCAGAAAGTAGCAGAAAGGTAAAAGAGCAGAAGGGGCCAAGGATAGAAAACAGTGTCAGAAGCAAAAAAAGACTGTCAAATGAAGGAGAGGAAAAGGAGATTGAAGCAGGAAGGACAAATGAAGTGAACCCTCCACTTTATTCTGGACACCACATCATAAGGCTTTGGTACCTGGGCCAGGCAGGGAAACGCTGGACCTTCTCATCTCCAAAGGTAAAAAATATCGGTGTTAATGTGTTCACTTTTATTTACTGAGTGTCAGGAAGCACAGAGTGCCGTTGGGTAGGGGTGTTGCTGATTGGCTAGAGCGGTCAGCTGGCACTCTAAGCCAATCAGTAGCTCCCATGCCTGACGTCAATCTGCACTTCCTGACACTCTGTTTCAGAAGCCAAATACCACTGAGCGACCTGGAGCTGGAGGAAGTCTTTGGGGTTAAACCATCTGAGAGCGATTTAACCCCTTAAAGGA